GCGGCCCCTGGGTGACGCCTTCACTCTGGGTCTGTCCACAGGACACGCCCCAGCCCTCCTCTGGCCCCGGTGCTGGCCACTCATATCCCCAGGGAGACAGTGGGGGGCAGGGATGACCGGCCCCGAGGACAGGCGGCCAGGGGTGCCCCTCACCCTGGAGGCCGGGCCCTGAGGACGGCAGGCCGGGACGCAGGAGCCCCCTGGGACCCTCACCCTCGGGCAGGGCGGGCAGGGTCTCGGACATAACTGGACAGGTCGAAGATGCCACCGCGCAGACAGGCGGGGTCCCTCCTGTGACCCTGCCTGCGCCGAGTCGGGGGCCCCCAGCGCAGGGAGCCCCCGCCCTTCGCCCTGGGACCCGGGAACTCGCCAGGTGCTGGTCACACGCAGTGCCTGTCCCCTCGGCATCCGTGACTTCTGCACCACGGGGCACTTGGGCCCTGAGTCTCCTCCTGAGCCCACAGCCGCTGTCCCCGGGACGGCTGGGCAGTGACAGTCCCCTGCAGCCAGGCGTGCTGGCCACGCCTCACCCTCGAGGTCGCCGGTCTGGCCGGCAGCTGGAGGAAGACACCTTCGCTCTGGGTGTGCCTGGTCCCCCTCCCGCCCCCTGTCCCGGGGTGGGACTTCCAGACACAGAGCCTCGCGGGACAGGCTTGGGGGCGGCTGTCCCTTGCTTAGTGAGGGTGACGCCCATCCAGGGGAGGTGGTGATGTCACGACCCCTGCGGCCCAGTGCCCGCTGGCCAGTTAGCACACAGCCTGTGGGGGCTGCCGGCTGGTGGCCCACTGGGCCTGGGAAGCACTGACTCCCCTTCTCCCCGTGGTCACTCGGAGTCTCGAGTGACCCATCCCTCGTCCACGGTGACGCTGCCAGGCCTGTGCCGCCACCTCTGTCCCCTCCACCTGCCATCCCCTCCCACCTGCCCCGGCCATTTGTCCTGGCGCTCCTCGGCGGGGACACCACGGGCACCCACGGTCGGGGAATCCTGTCCCTCTGGTTCTGGTTTGAGCGGCGGCTCTCAACCCAGAGGCTGCTGGGCCCCCAGGGACAGCACCCAGCCCCGCGGTGGCCGTGGGGTGGAGCACGGGGGGAACGGGAAGTGAGGGCGTTGGGTGGGCAGGAGCCTGCAGGGCCAGTTAGGGAGGCGTGCAGGGCCGGGGCCCAGGGGCCCTCGGTCCCTGCCGGAGGGAGCTTGGGCAGGAGGCTGGCCCGAGGGCCGGTGCGGAAGTGACTGGTGGAGCCGCAGGGAAAGGAGGTGACGGTGGGGATGGGTGAGCTCGGGCAGAATGCAGCCTGGAGCTGAGACGCAGGGGGGAGACACAGGACCCCACCCACCTCTGGCCAGACCCACCCCACCGAGCAGTGCCCACCGGGAAGGGCCTGGGTCAGAGTGGCCGCAGGGCACAGGGCGCAGCCCTGGCCGGTGGCGACAGGATTGCTGGGGCCTCGGGACCCGGACATGGGCTGCGCCCAGCAAGGCCCCCCCTAACCGCCCCTTCTGTCCCCCCCACAGGCCTCAGGCCCAAGCCCAAAGCCCAGTGACAGACGTGCATGGTGGCCTCTGCGCAGCCGCCGGCCCTGGACGTGCTGCTGGGCAGAGGAGCGTCCAGGCCCCGGCTGGCACCGGGCCCCGGGAGCCCCGAACTCCGTGCCTTACCCAGCCAGGGACTCGGGCCTCCCTGAGCGTTCTGGGGGTGTCGAGGCCCGGACCCCAGCAAGCCCCTGGCAGCCCGCCAGCGCCCTCCGGGACCGCCTGCACGCCCAGCGCCCCTCCTCCCGCTCCCACAGCCGACGCGGCCCCTGCATGACCACGGTGCCTGCCCGCCCGCAGGGGCGTCTGGTGGCCGCGTCCCTGGCGCCTCTCAGCTTGCACCCCCTCTCCAGGGACCTGGCACCCAGATTCTTCTGGAGACAACCCCTTACAGACCCGTCCCCCTAACCCGTGGGAGCTGGGCCAGAACAGAGTGATTTTAACAAAAATGTGGTCGTCATGTCTGCCCTTCTGTGGTGGCCTTGGGTGGGGACAGGCGGGCGGGCAAGGACCCCAAGGCCTCGGGCAGAGGCAGGCGGGCGGGCACTGCTCAGCAGAGACGTGGGGGCCCCATGGGGTTGGTCCCCCCGCCCCCCGTCATGCACCCAGCCTGAGGGTGGGGGTTGCCTGTCTCCTCGCGGCCAGGACCTGACCCCTTGTCCACAGAGCCCTGCACCCTGCTGCTCCCAGGGCGGGCGTTCCCCTGGGGACTGAGGGGAGGCGGAGGGGACCAGAGGGTCCTGCCAGGGGCTTCCACCTGTCCTGACCGCCCTCCTCGTGCGGGCAGCCTGCCCGGGCCCGGAAGCGGCCCGAGGGTTGCAGAGCTGGCCTGGCACAGTGCTGTGGTGTGCAGAGCTGTGGGTGGGCGTGGTGGGGGCCTGAACCCCACGGCAGCTGGGCCGGTGTGGGCGGACAGACAAGTCCGGGAACCGGGGTGGACGGCTGGGTCTGAGAGCAGGTGGCCTGGGCGGGGAGGGGCCTGCGGCGGGGGCAGGGCCGCCCTCTGGTGTCGGCTGATGTGCAGGGTCACGGAGCCTCGCCCTGGTCCGGTTCCGAGGGGTCTCCATCACCTGCGGGAGTGCCCCACGCACCCCCAGCCTTGTCCCTTGGGTTTTTGTGGGCGCTTCCCCTCAGTAGTGAGGTCACTCCGGCTCCTGTCATTCTCTTTCGGAGACCCCTGCCCCCCTCCCATCGTGGGGGGTCAGCACTCTGGTGCCCCCAGTGGCCCCCGCCCCCCTGCAAGGACGGAGCCCCTGTGCCCACACCCTCCTGTCGGCCGGCGGGCACCGGCGGTTCCCCGGGGAGGCGCAAGAGTCCCCTTGGACCCCGCCGCCTCTGGGAGGATGGCCCGTTTTCTCCGGGACTCGGAGCGGCACTGGCGGGCAGAGGCCGGCTGTGTCCGGCTCGAAGAAACTGTCAGACGGGCTCCCAGGCGGCCGCACCAAGTCCCGTTCCCACCCCGCAGGGTCTCAGGTTCCAGGGCCAGGTGTCTGGGTCCCGGTCACCTGATGTCCCCCGGGAGGTGTGGCCCCACAGGGGACACCCTGCCGGCCCAGCCCCTGTGCTCCCTGAGGGTGTGCCGGAGGCCCCACAGCAGCCTGAGCTTGGTGACTTGTACTGCCCCCACCCTAGTGACAGGCCCAGCCCGAGTGCGCAGGGCCACTGCGGGCGGTAGGGGGGCAGGGAGGGAGGGAGGTGGGGGCAGGGAGGGTTCTAATTTGGGCTGGGCCGTGTGACCGGCAGCCCCAGCGGCTGGGCCAGGACGGAGTTGTTTATGGGTCGCAAGATGCCCCGGGCTACTGGCTATTTATAGACCCCAGCGTGGGGCGCTGGGTTCCCCCACCCACACTGGGCCCTGCAGAGCCTGTCCAGCCCCAGTGGCGTCCCCTGGCCCCCGTCTGGGTCTACCGGGGGTGGGCGGGCCTCAGAGCCAGCCCCCCAGGCGTGGGCAGAGGGAAGCACTCCCTCAGTGGATAGGAGGCGTGCGGCCCCCAACCCTCCCGGCGGGCTTCCCGGTGGGGGTGACAGGCTCTGCTTCCGTTCCCTGGAGACGAGCGGACACAAACCTCCTGGTCCCTCCTGGGAACTCTCCTGGTCCCTCCCGCCAAACCCAGCACACAGCCAGCGATTGCACCCCAAACTCCTTCCCACGTGGCGTCCCCCTCCCGGCCCCCAGGGCGTTCAGAGCCGCTGGCCCCTTGCCCCAGCCGCCTCCCAGGCTGGCTCCCTGTGGCCCTGCTCTGCCACTGTCCCCCCGGAGGCCCGGACACGGGCCCGAAACTCGACCCCGGCTTGTAACCCACGTCGTGGGTTTACCCTCCACAGTGCGGAGGGGAAGGGATTACGGGTGTCCCTGTGTGAGAAGGGGCCGAGCACCCTGCCCAGGGTCACTGCCAGGGCTCCCACCGGGAGGCAGCGAGGGGGAGGGGCAGGAGGTGGTAGGCAGGGCAGCCCTCTGCTGGGGCCGGAATCACCAGGGACCCCGGGGTCCGCTCCCTTCTCCCTGGAGAGTGTCTGGTCTCCCTGTCTCCAGCCTGGGAGCACCAGGAGCCCCCAGCCCTGGGGCCAGAGGTCGGCAGGCCGGCTCTGGCCCCCTCTGTACCCAGAGCCCCCAGGGATGGAAGGGGGGGGCCTGACTCCCAGCCCTGGAGCTCAGGCCTGAGAGGGCACTGCTGCCCCCAGGGGCCCATCGCTGGTCCCTTCTCCCAGCCAGGGGGCTAGTGTGTGCAAGCCAGAGCCCACTGCGGCGGGGGGGGGGGTGTGCTGTGGTGGCCCAACCCCTCGTCAGGCAGCCGATCCCAGTACCCCGTCCCTCCGCAGCTGGAGCAGGAAGGCAGCCTCCCGGAGCGTAGCCCTGGGCACCCCTGCTGCTCCCCCGCCCCACCAGGTGCCCTGGCAGCCTGGGTCGGCCCTTCCTTCCAGACTCGCGGCCCTGAGGACCCATAGCAGCCCGGCCCTGGGGTGCAGCCCGCGTGCTGGCACTGCCGTCACAGCGTGTCCTGACGCCTGGCCCCGCTCAAGAGGGAGGCGCGCTGTTCTCTCCGTGGCCACCAGAGGGCGCACGCGCCGGCCCAGGGGACCGGGACTCACAGGGGGCAGGCGCGCACCCCGCGTCGGGCGTGGGGGCCCTTCCTCTGTGGGCCCCGCCGGAGGGGAAGCTCCCTTTTGCAGGTCGCACGCCCGCGCTGGGGGGGCGGGGCCTGCAGTTGCCAAATCCCCGAGGTCCGGGCCCGGCGAGGTGGGATCGCAGCGCCCAGGCCTGCCCCGGGGGCTCAGGGGTGGGGGGCGCGAACGCCCTCGTGACGTCCCCGGGGCTCCCGGCCAGGCCCGCGGGAGGGACCGCGGAGCCAGCCGTCGGTTCGTGCGCCCCGAAGTGCCTGCGGCCCGACTCGGCTCCTGGCGGCGGCGAGGGCGGGACCGGGGGCCGGAGGTCACCCAGCGTCACGGGGGCCCGCCCCCCGCCCCGGGCCGGCGCCTTTTAACTGCGGGACCCGCGCGCTCTGGGCGTCCAGCGCTGCGGGCGAGCCGGGCAGCATGTCAGCGACCCGCGCCTCCAACGACCGGCCCCCCGGCGCGGGCGGCGTCAAGCGGGGGCGGCTGCAGCAGGAGGCGGCAGCGACCGGCTCCCGGGTGACCGTGGTGCTGGGCGCGCAGTGGGGGGACGAGGGCAAAGGCAAAGTGGTGGACCTGCTGGCCACGGACGCCGACATCATCAGCCGCTGCCAGGTGCGCCGGCGCTCCCCGCCCAGCGAGCCCCCCCACCCCACCCAGACCCGGCGCGCCTCCTGGAGCCCTTCCTCCTGGGGACGCCTTCCCAGCGGCCACCCCCACCCACCCACACAGGCCTGCGACGCCCACTCCCCGCGCTCACACTTCCCTCCTGCGCGGGACACCCCACCCCGCAGACCCGCCCCACCCCCACCGCTGCAGCGGCCGGGCAGAGCTATAAATACAAGCCCTGCTGAGTTGGGGACACCTGATCCTCCGGGGGTGGGGTGTGCCTGGGGTGTGCCGCTGGGCCCTCCAGTGGGGGAGGAGGTGGGCGCCCCAGTTTCCCCACCTCCTCCAGGTGGCTTGAGGGCCGCGGGACGCCGCATTCCTCCTTCTGTCCCATTCTGTCCGGTCTGGGATGGGGCAGGTGGACTCCACACAGCACTCACCCACGAGGTGGGGGGCGGGGGCGAGGCAGTCGGGCAGGGCTGGCAAGGCGTCCCTGGGAGGGGGTGACCCTGGGGTGTCCGCCAGAAGGAGGTAGAGGGAGGGAGGGCAGGCCCGCGGGGGAGGACCCGAAGGAAGGCGGGGCAAGGGGAAGGAGGGTGCTGCTGGTCGGAGGGGTGGGAGGAGCCACGGACTTCTGGCCCCAGTGACCGGGCTCCGTCCCCTGAGGGAGGGCCCAGGGCAGGGCCTCTGCCTGCTTCCGGCTGAGGGACTCTGGGCACTCCTGAGCGGCCAGTGCCCCATGCTGGGGCCCGCCGGGCCACGCTCACCACTGGGGCTGGCAGAGGTCAGGGTGCAGGGGTCTGGCTGTGGGCCCGTGCACTGGTGCTCCGGAGGCTCAGAGCCACCAGCGAGAGTGCTCCCCACGTGGGGAAGGGGCGCCCCGGCCCCATCTCCCTGGTGCTGTGGCCTTTCCTGAACTCCCGCCCAGAGGCTGGCCCAGAGTCCCCCGAGAGGGGACGGGCCCCTGCACTCGGCTCATGGAAACCCCAACAGCTAGACCACCCCGGCGGGAAGCGGACAGGGGACTCCTGGGAGGTGCTTCCTGGGACTTGGGACGGTCCCCACCCTCTCCCTGTCCTGAGCCGTGCAGACCCAGGCCACCCCTTCCCCCAAGAGCCCCAGCGCCAGAGGCGGCCCCAGAGCCCCTGCTGTGTGAGTGGGGGCCCCACACCCTGCAGCCCGGGCGGCGTGTGGCCACGGGGCCGCCCCTGCACTCCGCCCCCCAGCACCGGGCACCCCTCCTCCGGCCTCTCCGCTCGGGTGACACCCACAGCCCTCCACACGCTGCGCTGGCCTGTCCCCTCCTCGGGGGGACAGTTCCCCTCGACACCCCACCTGGACGCCTCCGGGAGTGCCTTCCAGCTGCGCAGACGGGTCCGGGACGCAGCTCTGCCCCCCGGGGGGGGCCAGCGGGCTGGGCCCACCCACCCCCGTCACCACAGAGTGGACAGACCAGCCCGGGGCTGAGCAGGCCGGGGCTGGCATCCGTCTGGGCACTGCCTGGAAGGGCTACAGCCGGCAGCCCCATCTCCGGGGCAGCCTTGTGTCCGTCCGGTGTCCCCGTGACCTCCTGGGCCCTGGGCCCCAGGCCTCACCTGCCGGCGGGCTGCAGGGCTGCGGGTCTTCGAGGCCCCCCACACCCCGGCCCCAGTGCTGCCCTCCCGAGCGCCGGCCCTGCTGGCTGGAGATGAAGCCCGCTGCCGTGCCTGCCGCCCAGGGGTCTCCCCCCGACTGCTACAGCAACAGCCGCACCCGCGCCAGGGGACTCCCGGCCTCTGAGGAGCTGTCCACACCGCCCCACGCTCACCTCTGCCGCCTGGGCCGCTGGCGGAGGGGTGGGTGGGGCTGCACGGGGTGGGGGAGGCCGGGCCAGGCCTCCCTGGGCACCAGGGCCACCTGGGCCCTGTGTGGCCGAAGTTGCCATCCCATCTGTCAGCCATGCAAGGGACCATGTGGTGGGGAACCCCGGAGGGCGGGGGTCGCTGAGTGGGTGGTGAGGATGGGGAACCTGGCCAGTCAGAGGTCACAAGAGGGTGGCCTCCAAGTGGACAGCAGGGTGCACGGGGCAAGGACAGATACTAGAGAACCAGAGGCTCCCAGAGCTCCACCTGGGGCGCCTGCCCTGCATTCAACGTGGGGGTGAGGAGGTACGCCCCCCAGGGGTATCAGGGACACCCTGGGCTGTGCGTTGCCTGGCTCAGGTCACCACCCCTCACCCTCTGGGGCTGGGCCTGGGCTGGCTCAGTGCCGTTGGGACAGGAAAGGTCAGCCTGGTCTGGTTCCTGAGTGGGCCGGCCTTGGCCTTGGCCTTGTGCCCATGTCTGAGAGGGGGATCACCCCCTTCCTTAGGTCCCTGATGCCAGGGAGGCTGCTGGAGTCCACAGGGGACTTTGAGAGACTGGCCGGGCCTGGCAGGAGGCGGTGGGGGTGGCTTCAGCCCCGGGGCTGCTGAGAGCTGCTCGGGACCCCCGGCTCCACCACTGAGCTCACTGGCCGACTCGGCCGCCCCCGGGGAGCTGCTGAGCAGAGGCTGAGGCAGAGCTCTGGGAGCCGCCGGGCTGCCCGGCCCCCAGGTGGTGCTGGCTTTCTGTCACGCTCCGGGCGCAGAGCCGCTGGGACGGGAGGCTGAGAGCAGTGCAGACGGCCAGGCCGGCCCTCGTCTCTCGTGGGGACCCTGGGCCCGCTGTCCTCTCCGGGGGGCTTTCTAAGCCACGCAGCAGCCAGCGCAGCCCTGGGCCCACCCCTCCTGCAGCCGGCCTCAGCCGGAGGATGGCCCGAGGGTGTCCCTGCCCACCCTCACCATCAGGCCAGGTGCAGCCCCAGGGGGACAGAGCAGGGTCTCGGGCACCAGTGCCCTGGCCTCTGCGCTCAGCAGGCCCTGGGCTCCGGCTCCGGGAGTGGCCTGTGAGCTGACGCCCAGCCCCGGGCTGGCTGGGTCCTCTGACACCCGCGGGTCCACACAGCTGGCGCCTGCTCCTGGGTGCCCACGGTGACGCCTAAACAAAGGCGGGGCTCACTCAGAGGCCCTGCTGGGCACTCAGCGGGGGGCAGCAGGGTGTCTGGCTCCCCGGGCCCCAGCCTGGCAGGGGGCCCTCCGCGGTGGGGACGTGTCTGGCACTGCGGGTTCCGCTGCCCACTCCCCTCTCTGGGGACCTCAGTTTCCCCATCCTCAACCTCGTTTCCACAACCTCGGGTGAGACCTTGTGCAGAGATTCTCCCAAGGGGGCCACCGCCCACGTCAGGGGGGACCAGGACAGAGCATGGATGGGGCCCCCGGAAGCTGCAAGAGCCCCGAGGCCCAGGGCCTGTCAGTCCCGTGGGGGCCTGTCTGAACTGCCAGCCGCCCCATCCCTCCTGATGGGCCACACCGGCACCTTGGGCAGGTGGGACTCAGGTCAGCTGGGAGGCCCCTCCCCGTGGCTCCCTGCCCCTGCCCCCCACTCCCTGCACCCGCATCTCCTTCCCCACGCCCCCACCCCAAGCCCCTCTGGAAGCTCCCCCTCCCAGCACAGGCTGCATCCCGAGGCCCGGCCCCCAGCCCGCCCTCACTCACAAGGCACGAGGCACCACCCTCTGTGCTCGGCCCCGACACCCCCTTGTCCTCCACTCCCCCCCCCCCACCACATGCCCACAGCCACGGGGCCTGGGGGAGCAGCAGGTCCACCCTCAGGGTTTGAGCTGGGGGGATGGCAGGGCCACCTGGATGTCAGCGACCCCAGGAGCCTGAGACAGCCTCCGTGCCCTGGGTCAGCAGCCCCTGGGGGCAGGCCGGAGGGGCTCCCACGGGCCTGGGACCCCTGTTGGGACCGGTTCCTGCGGGCCCTGGCAGGCAGCCGGCAGGGGTGGGGGCTGGGGGAGCGGGGTGGTGGGGTTGGTGCAGGGCCTCGGAGGCTGAAGTCCACCCTGCCCGCCCCCAGCGGCCCCCGCACTGGCCGTTTGAGGGAGAGGCTGTCCTGATGCCTGGGGCGGGCAAAGACAGGCAAGGAGTGCCCCACCCTGCCAGGCCCTGGGGGGTTGCTGAGGCCCCCCATAACCTGCAGCCTGCGACCCTGTCTGCGGGGGGGGGGCAGTGGGTGTGGCGGGGTGAGCCTGTGTCTGTGGGAGCTGGAGGTGGGCACAGGGAGGGGCAGGTCCCTGGTGTGGGCGCAGCAGGAATGCCGGCTCCGGTCACAGTGCCCTCTGGTGGTGGGACATGGGGCCACGGCCCGGCCTCCCTCTCGGTGGGACCCCTCTGTCTGCAAAGGTCCCAAGGAGAAAGGGTGCTGTATGGTCTGGCGACCCCAGGACCGGGCTGGCCTCGAAACTGTGTTTTCCTTTTCACTCCTGCACAGACGGTGTGGGCTGTACGGGGGCGCCCCTGCTGAGGGGCGGGGAGCGTGGCCCTGCCGGCCCCCGGTGACCCCTGTCCGCCACCTCGGAGCTGGGGCGGCATGGAGCGCGGCAGTCTGGGCCGTGGCGGCCGTGGCGGCCGAGGCTCGTGCCTCCAGGAGGGTCGGGCCCCTTGTGTTTGCATGAGAGGAGGGGCCCCCAGACTCAGGGGCTGTGGGGGACACCTCCCCGGGGAGAGGCAGTGTGGCCGCCGGGAGCAGGCTGGGCCCAGCCCCACAGCCAAGGCCCTGCGTGTGTCCCAGGGGCGGGGCCCTGGCCCAGCACCCCCAGGCTGGCGCCGGAGCCCACCCTGAGTCCAAGCACGGACGGCCTCTCCCGGGGCCGGGGCGGGGACAGAACCCCCACCCCCAGCAGCCTGCAGGCCCTCCCGGGGCGGGTGCTCTGCGCCCGGGGCCCCCGGACACTCAGCGGGTTTCTGTCCCCAGGGGGGCAACAACGCTGGCCACACCGTGGTGGTGGACGGCAAGGAGTTCGACTTCCACCTGCTGCCCAGCGGCATCATCAACCCCAAGGCCGTGTCCTTCATCGGTGAGTGCCCCCTGCCCCGCCGGGGGTGTGGTCAGCCAGGCCTCCGCTGGCCCTGCACAGCCTGCCTGCGGGGCGGCAGTGGGAGGTCCCCGCCCTGCTTGGGAGGCCGGGCGGGGCGTCTGACCTGGGAGCCCGCCCTCAGCCTGATGGGGCCGGTGGGGCAGCCAGGACACCCCCCAGCCTGGGCCCGAGGGGTGGGGGTGCCAGGGACCCCCCGAGCTCCTGGCCTCCCCAAGGGCGCCCACATGGATGTGTGTGGGTGTGCACGCCTGTGGCTGAGGATGCCTGCACATGCATGTGCACATGTGTACATACATGTACACGTGACGAGCCTGGCCGTGCACTGTGGGCGGCGGGCAGGGCGCCGGGCCTGGACGGGGAAGCTGGGTTTTTCCTGGCACCGCGTGAGGTGCTTGTCCCCCCTGCGGTCCCTGCCCCCGGCCCACCCCTGTTCCCCTCCCGGCGGCCACCCGGTGACCTTTTCGTGTCCCTGGGAGTGGAAACCACCTCCAGGACTGCGTGGGTCTCTCCCCCCACCCCACCCCTGACACCTCCCCTGGGTCGTCTCTCCCTCCCGCCCTCCCGTGGTTACGAGGCCCAGCTCCCTGTCCCGGCCTCAGCTCTCAGCCGCCCGCGCTCAGAGAAGCGTGCCCTGGCCCCCCAGATCGGGCCCCCGGGACACGCTAGGAGAGTTTCCAGTACTTTTCCTTCTGGCTCTTCCCACGACCAAGCCGTGCGCGTGACTCATCTGCCCCGCCCCTCCCGGACCAGGACGCGGGGGCTGCCGCAGCAGGCGGGTGCCCAGTGAGGGCCTGGGGTCGGGCCCCCTGGAAGGGAGGCCCAGCCTGCGGGCCGTGGGGCGGAGCAGGGGGTAGTCGAGTGCCCCCCCACGGAGGGACAGGCCCCGGGGCAGGAAGCCCTCTCAGTGCCAGCCGGTCTGCTGCCTCCCACCCCGCCTGGTCCCAGGGGAGCTGGGGACTCGTCCGGGCCCGGGGCCAGAGCCCAGTCCGGACGGTCACCGGGGCACATCAGCAGGGGTCCACTGGTCAGTCAGCCTGGCCGCACGGCGCCCGAGACCCGAGCGGAGCCAGAGCTGCAGGTGCCGTAGCTCACGCGGCTTCCCCCCGCGGGCCACACGCCCCGGCCCGGCTCGAGGTTGTTCCAGGACGCGTGGCATTTAGGTGACCTTTTGTGCCCAGTGTGGCTGGCACAGTCTCTGAGTCACTGCCACCTGGACCGACATTCTGTCTTCCTCGGCCAAGCCTGTGCCACAGCAGAGGGCGGCCCTGGCCCAGCGGCCGGCGGTCCTGCAGTAAATGGCTTTACCTGGACCCTGAGAGGACCCGTGACCTCGGGCCCGTCTGCCTGCGGGGTCTGCTCGGCTGGCGTGGCTGGAGCAGCCGGGCTCCCAGGGCCGGCGGGTCCCTGCAGCGCCCGGCTCAGCGCCTCTGCCCTCCCGTCTTCAGGCCGTTTCAATAAACCGTAGCAGCACCCTTGAGGCCTAATTCCTGCTGTGAAAGTCACTGCGGTCGCACAGCTGTCACTGCAATTAGGGCTTTTTTTTTTTAAGATTCTATTTATTTATTTTAGAGCGAGGAGAAGGGAGGGAGAAAGAGAGGGAGAGAAACATCCGTGTGTGGTTGCCTCTCACGCAGCCCCTACTGAGGACCTGGCCCGCAACGCAGGCCTGTGCCCGACTGGGAATCGAACCGATGACCCTTTGGTTGGAGTCCGGTGCTCAGGCCACTGAGCCACACCAGCTGGAGTCAGTTTGGTTTTAGAACATAGTCGTCACCCCAAGCAGCTCCCTCGTCGGTTTGCGGGCCACCGCGCCCCCGCCCAGCCCGGCCTGCCGCTCCGGCCCGCCCCCCAGGGGCTCCCGCTGGGCTTGTGCGGCCGCCCCTTCTGTCCGCTCGACGACACGCACGCCGCACGCTCGCACCGGCTCGGCGTCGCGGGACAGGGAGCTCCTGTGGCGCTGCCGCCCGACCGCCCCCGCCGCCCTCCCCAGAGCCCTCTCACCTTCCCAACCTGACTTCTGACCCCTGACCCCTGGCCCCGCCACCTGCTGCCTGTCCCCAGGGGTCTGCCCCGTGAGTGTGGCCACGGCCCGTCTGTGCCCCCGACCGGCTGAGCGTCTGCGGTCTCGCTCAGCGCTGGACCTCAGGCCTGCGCGGGCAGCGGCGGGTGTCGGAAGGCCCGTCCTCCCGTGGGGGGGGGGGGGCCGGGTCAGGGCCACGCTGCTCCGTGGCCGACTCGGGGTCGAGTGCGCCTCTCGGCTGCAGTGACCCACCGTGTCGCTGGGGCTGCGGGACGCCGATTCTGCGCCGTCCTGACCGCGGTCCCCGCGCCCGTGACGGGGTCCAGCCCGCGCCCCCGTGTCTGTGTTGCAGGAAATGGCGTGGTCGTCCACTTGCCAGGCTTGTTTGAAGAAGCTGAAAAGAACGAGAAGAAAGGTGGGTCGGCGTCCCACAGACACGTCCTGTCCTGTCCCCCGTGTTCCCCCACGGCCCGGTGGGCCCACGCCCTGCCCTGCAGTTTCCCCGGGGGGGGGGGGCCGACCTCGCCCTGGGGGAGGGCTGTGGTTCCTGGCAGCCCCACCTGGGGACGGGAGGCCGGCAGGCAGTGACAGGCGAGGGGCCCTGTGCGGGTGGACTGGAGGCGGGCTGACCACAGCGCGGCAGCCCCCAGACCCTGAGAGGGTCGGACGGAAGCAGAGCCCCACTGCGGGCTCCGGGCCGGGCAGGTGCGGAGAGGGCGGCCCCTGGGGAGGGCCCGTCCCTGGCTGCACACGGGGAAGGGGGGGTGTGACCGTGATGGCTCTTGCCCGGGTGGGTGCCGGGCGAGCGGCCGCCTCAGCCCCCCCTCCCCTGTGCCACCACCACCGTGCAGGCCTCAAGGACTGGGAGAAGAGGCTTGTCATCTCGGACCGGGCCCACCTCGGTGAGTGTCCCGCCCGCCCCACGGTGGACTGCACCCCACCCTGCCTCCTCCCGGCCGCCGCCGGACCCCTGCAGCTCCACTCGGCCTTCCCAGAGGGCGGGGTGGCCGGGACCTCGGCGCCCACAGGGGGCCCATGGTCCCACGGGCACTGACGGGGAGCAGAGGCCGGACTCCGGTCCGTCCCCTCCCACGCCGAGCCCCTGCCCTAGGGGGCCCGGGCGAGTGGCCGGTGACCCTCCCTCGTCTCTCCGCCCGGCCCGCCCGGCCCCCAGTGTTCGACTTCCACCAGGCGGTGGACGGCCTTCAGGAGGTGCAGCGGCAGGCCCAGGAGGGCAAGAAGTGAGTGCCCGGTGCGTCCGAGGGCCGGTGTCCCGGGCTTCGGCCGGCCCAGCGGCCCTCCACGGGAGAGAACCCGGGCCTGGTGCCCCTGGAGAGCAGCCCCCGGGGGTTCCCGACCCCCAGCCCCCAGTCCCGAAGCCCAGACAGGCCCACCTCTCCCGGGGGTCGCACCGTCCCCTCCGGCTGCCACCCCTCGGGGCACATTGCTGTCCAGCCCCTGTTGCTGGGATGCCCGGCCAGCCGTGACCCCATGCTCGGGCCGCCTCCCCACACGGCGGTGCCCGTGTCCTGTCCTGTGCTCGCTGCCGCTGCCCGCCCCCGCTGGGCCCTGCAAGCTGGTGGTTTGAGGAGCCTGGGCATCCTCACAGCCACCCGGATCCGGCTCCGGGGCGCTGCCACCAGGAGGCACTTTGCCCGGCAGGGGTGGGAATTGGTCTGGGACACCAGCCGGGGCCCGAGTTCCCCAGGCGGCGGGGCTCCCACTGCTCACAGCCACCCCGTTCTCAGCATCGGCACCACCCGGAAGGGGATCGGACCGGCCTACTCCTCCAAGGCCGCCCGCACCGGCCTGCGCATCTGCGACCTGCTGTCCGACTTCGACGAGTTCTCCTCCAGGTACCCGGCCGCCCGCAGCCCCGGGGCCGGGCCAGCGAGAGGGGCTCGGGCGGGCTGAGGGGCTCAGTCAACGTCGCCTCGCAGGTTCAAGAACCTGGCCCGCCAGCACCAGTCCATGTTCCCCACTTTGGAAATCGACACTGAAGGCCAGCTTCGCAAACTGAAGGTACAGCCGGGAGGCCGGCACGCAGCTCTCACTGCCACTGGAGCTCCGAGAGAGAGTGCTCCTGGCACAGACACACTTCGGGGCATCGCCCAGGGGTGGCTGGCATCCGTGGGGCCCACGGGCCTCCCGTGTGAGCCCCGCTGGGGCGGTCAGTCAGGGGGTCTCCTCCGGGGCCGGGCTCCCCTGCCAGGCTGGGTCCTCATGTCCCCTCGGGGGACCTGGGGACGAGGGTGACCCTGTCCCACCCGAGGCAGGAGGTGAGGGCACCCCGCTCACCCCGAGAGGGGCGGGTGGTGCGGGGGACAGGAAGAGGTCAGCACAAAGCCCTTCTGGAAGTTTCCAAGGCTGGGATCCCGCCCCTCCGACCCTTTTCCGGGCTGTAATGAGGGCAGAGAGGACCCTCGGGGGTGTCTGCTGTGCAGGGTCAGGGCCCGCCCAGCACCTCGTCTTCGCTGCGATGGCCCCCACTGCCCCCCACCCTGAGGGTCTGGGAGCTGGGGCTTCCCCGTGTGACTTGGAGACACACCTCCCCCCACCATGCACCCTGAGGACAGCCCGGGCCCCACAGATAGGCCCCGGGCGGGTCCGGCTTGTGGACCTGGCCCCCGGCCGGAGGAGGTGTCTGGGGGAGCCGGGCTGCTGGTGGCGGTGGGGGTGGGGGCGGCCGGCGGCATCCACTCTCCTCACAGGGCTTCGCGGAGCGGATCCGGCCCATGGTCCGAGACGGTGTCTACTTCATGTACGAGGCGCTGCATGGCCCCCCCAAGAAGATCCTGGTGGAAGGCGCCAACGCAGCCCTGCTGGACATCGACTTCGGTGCGCCCTCGGGGCTGGCCCCTGCCGTCCATGGGGGGGGGCGCGGCAGGGCCCTTCCTCTGCCACGCTGACCCCCGGCCAAGGACGTGGGGGCGCTGCTCCGAGAACTGCCATCCGCCGACGGGGAGAGGAACCAGCACAGGGCAGCGAGGGCTCCCTCCTGTCCCCCCCCACCCCACGGGTCACTCCCCGAGGGTCCCTGGCACCACTCTCCCTGGAGACCCCACTTGGGGCCGAGCTGAGGGTCCCCCACCACTGCCCTCTGCCTGCAGGCCCCCTGGGCGGGCCTGTGGGGGAGGTGGGCGGCCCCCGACCTGCTCCATCTCGCAGGGACCTACCCTTTCGTGACGTCGTCCAACTGCACGGTGGGCGGCGTGTGCACCGGGCTGGGCATCCCCCCGCAGAACGTGGGCGACGTGTACGGCGTGGTGAAGGCCTACACCACACGCGTGGGCATCGGGGCCTTCCCCACCGAGCAGATCAACGTGAGTCCCCGGCCCAGGCGGGGCCCCTGGGGACGGGCCGGGGCTGCGGGCACCACGGGGGCCGATGCTGAAGACACGCGGTGCCCACGCGTGTCCACACAGCCCGTCCCCCCCCGGGGGGTGTTGCGGGCGTGTGGGGTTGGCCCTGCCCTTGGCTCGGAGGGGACCCGCAGGGTGCCGGCGACCTGCCCTGGCGGCCCGGCCTTGTGTCCCAGGGGCCACGAGCACAGGGGGCGCTCGCCCCGAGCCGCCGAGGGTAAGGGCCGGAGGGCAGAGAGGCCCCGCGTCCGGAAGTACCTGGCAGCTTGGCGTGCAGGGGACACGGGCAGAGGGTGGGGGCCGCAGGAGAAGCCCACTCACACCCCGCAGGCCCCCCGCTGAGCCCCGGGACCAGTCCCTCCTGTCCTCACCGTCCCGCGTGGGAGGGCCGAGGGGAAGGAGGGGAGCCCCCCCGTCGGGTCCTTCTGGGGCCCCCGCCAGCCACAAGGCAGAGCCTCGGCTGGGGCACACGGGCCCGTGAGGGGGGCATCGCAGGGGCTGTCTCGGCCCCCGTGCCCGCACACGCGGACCCGCCCTGTCCCCGCGCAGGAAATCGGTGACCTGCTGCAGAACCGCGGCCACGAGTGGGGGGTGACGACCGGCAGGAAGAGGCGCTGTGGCTGGCTGGACCTGGTGATCCTCAGATACGCCCACATGCTCAACGGGTTCACCGCGTAAGCGTCCGCCGCCTCCTGGCCGTCCTGGTGCTGCCTGTGCTGGGGACTACCCCAGGCTGCCCACCTGGGCCGGGTGTCGGGGCTCAGGGCCACGTGGGGTGTGGTCTCCCATCTGCACCCTTCATTCGCACGGCGGGGCCACAGGGGAGGTGATGCGGAGCCCTGTGCGGAGCCCCTCGAGCCATGAGCCACACCGTGAAGGAGGGGAGACGTGGCCCCCACACAGCGTGGGCCCCAGGGCCAGAGGAGGCCTGGCCCGGAGCTTGGGACCCAGACCGAAACCCCCGCGGCAGGCAGGGCGGCCTCCCCCAGGGCGCCAGAGCCCAGGAAAGGCCCGGCGGTCTGCAGACACGGAGCTGGAGAGCCCCTGATCGCGGGCACTGGCGGGAAATGCTGTTTTTGTTAGTTTTTGTTTTCATCCCCAAGACATGCTTGCTGGTTTTAGGGAGAGGGGGAGGGAGGGAGAGAGAGGGAGAGAAACATTGATGTGTGGTTGCCTCTCTTGTGCCCCCTACTGGGGAGCTGGCCTGCAATCCAGGCCTGTGCCCTGACTGGGAATCGAACCGGCGACCCTTTGGTTTTCTGGACAGTGCTCCAGCCAACTGGACCACCTGCTCAGGACCTGAAATGGTGTTTGTAGGCAGGCCCGGCTGTCCTGACGGGCACTTCAGAGACAGGCTGGCAGGGAGACGGGAAAAGGGAGAGACCTGTTGGGAGGTCCTGGGCCCAGGGCCTGGTGGGAGGAAGAGCGAGGAAGCTGACGCCCTTGTTGGCGTCGGTGTTGGGGACAGGGCTGGGTCTGCACGGGCAGCCTGGGCGGGCGGGTGGGCGGAGCCTGGTGAATGAGCTGGGCCCGGGCTGCGGGCTCAGCCCCTGGAGGCGGCAGGCAGAGGGCAGGTGTGTGGCGACACCACTGTGGGGCACAGGCGGCGTGCCCCGACCTTCCCGCTGAGTTTCTCCCCAGCGCTTCGGCTTCCCCGTCTGTTCCCTGAAGCAGAGGGGGAGCGAGGGGGGGAGGCAGACAGAGCCGAGAGCGGCTGCCGATGGCCCCTCCCCTTGTGTCGCCCTGGCTCGCACAGGCTGGCCCTGACGAAGCTGGACATCCTGGACGCCCTGGACGAGATCAAGGTCGGCGTCTCCTACAAGCTGAACGGGAAAAGGATCCCCTATTTCCCAGGTATGCATGGCAGGTGGCTTCCCGGCGTGGGCCGCCGCCCCTGGCCCGGGCAGAGGTGACCAGCGAGTCCCGGGGAGGACAGGAAGGGCCGCCCCCGAGGTGCCTGTGACCGCTCGCCGCCACGGGCTCTCCTGCCGCAGGGGCGGCCCGCCAGGTCTCAGGGCGGCCGCCGGCGCGTCCCGCGGTGGGGAAGGGCTCCGAGGGCCTGGGCTGGCGGCAGGGGGGCCGCCCCTCGGCCCCAGCCCGGGGCCCCGTGGGGGCGGGTGCCTGCAGGCGGGCTGCTCTGGAAGAGCGAACACTCCGCAATGGGAAGACGGCTCTCTGACCTGACTATGTAAGACCTGACTGGGGTTTCCCCCGCCCCCAATCCCCCCTTTATGTTTTAAAGATTTTATTTATTATTTTTAGACAGAGGGGAAGGGAGAAGGAAAGGGAGAGAAACATCAGTGTGTGGTTGCCTCTCATGCGCCCTCCACTGGGGACCCAGCCTGCAACCCAGGCTTGTGCCCTGATGGGGAGTCGAACCAGCGACCCCTTGGATCGCAGGCCAGCCCCTGTGGTGGGACAGCTGCCACGCCTTCCCCTGGTTGTGTAGACCCACCAGCACCTCCCAGAGGCCTCACTCCACGGACCCTGACCTTTGAGAGGATGTGGCAGAAGTGTGGTGTGACCCCAGGGTCAAAGGTCAGGGCCCAGGGGACTGCACACACTCAGAGGGGGCTGAGGCTCAAGACCCTTGGGGTGGACGGCTCGTTCTGGCATCTTCCATCCATTTGGCATCTGCCATGAGCCCAGGGGTCCCTTCCAAGTGGAGGGGCGGGGACATAGCTCCTTCAGGATTTCTTTCTTTTCTTTTTTTTTTAAGATTATATTTATTTATTTATTTTTAGAGAGGAAAGGGAGGGAGAAAGAGAGAGAGAGAGAGAAACATCCATGTGCGGTTCCTGGGGGCCGTGGCCTGCAACCCAGGCATGTGCCCTGACTGGGAATCGAACCTGCGACACTTTGGTTCGAAGCCCGTGCTCAATCCACTGAGCTACGCCAGCCAGGGCTTCCTTCAGGATTTCTTAACATTTGAAACCCTCAGAGCCCCTTGGAATTTCCAAGGAGGGTTCTAGGCATCGCTGACTGAGTCACCCGTGGACGTTGCGGCAGAGCCTGTGCCGAACCGGGGTGCAGGGTGAACCGGGGTGCGGGTGGACGCGTGCCCCTGGCTTCTGGGGGACAGCCTGTGTCCAGGAGCCACTCCCTGGCCCCGAGGAAGCCCAGCGGGCGACTCCCCCTCCCCCGCTGCTGAGCCCCCAGGGAAGCAGGCCCCCGGCGGTCGGCCCCCGAGACGGAGTGACGCCTGAGGGGCGTCACCACCCCTGTGTGTCCCCAGCTAACCAGGAGATCCTGCAGAAGGTCGAGGTGGAGTACGAGACGCTGCCCGGGTGGAAGTCGGACACCACGGGTGCCAGGAAGTGGGAGGACCTGCCCCCGCAGGCCCAGAACTACGTCCGGTTTGTGGAGAACCACGTGGGCGTGGCAGGTGGGTGCCTTGCACCTGGCCTCCCGCCCCGCCCCGCCCCGCGCCGCGGCGCCCCGGCCTGAACCACCTTCTCCCTTCCAGTGAAGTGGGTCGGTGTCGGCAAGTCACGGGATTCGATCATCCAGCTGTTCTAGACGGAGACCGGGCGCCCCTGGGAGGCACGGCCCCGCCCCGGCCGCGAGGGAGAAGCAGGGGGGTGGCTCCGGACTCCCGCGTTTCTCCCGAAGCTCCGCCCCCCGAGTCTGGGGCGCGCCGGCCCTCCGAGATCCAGCGCCGCGCAGGCCCTCTCGCCCCCCGCCGTGTGGGGCGAGCCAGGCGCGCAGAGCGGGGACCGCGGTGGCCGTTCGCGTCGCGTGTTGTGTGTCTGGCTGGAGCAGTTTAGCAATAAACGTCCCAGGGCCGCTGAACGGCAGGGTCACGCGTGTGCTGTTCTGACGTGGTCGTTTTGTTTTGACTTTTATCTTTTTTTAAATGTTTATTTGCTTTTTGTGTTTAGAGAGAGGGGAAGAGGGATAAACAGAGGGAGAGAAACATCAGTGTGTGGTTGCCTCTCATGCGCCCCCTGCTGGGGACCTGGCCCACAACCCAGGCTTGGGCCCTGACTGGGATTTGAACCAGCGACCCCTTGGATCGCAGGCCGGCGCTCTGTCCACTGAGCCCACCAGCCAGGACTGCTCTGACTTCTACACACAAGACGTCACCACGGATGCTTTGCCTTGACAGCCGTCAGGGTGACACACGCATGTGGTTCACAAAGCCAAGGGATTTGTTTGCTCAGAACCCGCTCCTGTGAGAGGCCACAGCAGTAAGTGTGTTTTCCAAAACCAAACATCACGGGATTTCGGTCTGGAGCCCAAGCACCCCCACCCACCTCTGCTTGGTAATGGAGCCGTCCCCCATATCCCCCTGCCTGGCTCCCTGTCAGCGAGCCGGTCCCCCCACCCTCTGGGTCTCGGCGGCTGGACCGAGCCACCGGCCACGGGCACGTTCCTGGCTGTACCTCGCTCACCCAGCTGAGCAACCCCCCTCACAACGTGTCAGGGTTCGGGGTGAATCGGGAAAAAGAGCTGCCTGTCCGAGGCCGTTTAGAGAGGGAAGGAATTCCGGGGAGAGGCCCCGAGCCAGCAGGTGGAGAGCGGGCTTCTCGCCCCTGGGTTCACTGAAGCCGGCTTGAGTCTCCTGCGCGGCCGGCTCTCTGGGAGAGACGCAGACCCCTGGACTTCCCCGTGCTCCCAGGCGTCTCCCACCGCACCCAGAATGGCTGCAGGGCCTTGACCCGAGTCGGGAAAGCACCCGTCACCAGCAGCGCGGCTCCGGGGGGGTGCAGGGAACAGGCACACACGGAAACGGCCTGAGTTTGCAGAGAATTACTTCCTCTCTCCCACAGCCCAGGGAGGAGACGGAGCAAGAGACCCCCGGGCAGGTGGGCTCTGGGGACCCCAGCTCCTCACAGCTCCCGGGAAATGGCTTCTCCTTGCGAGAGGACCGTCGGGCAGCCTCTCCCTGCCGCTGAGAGGCACGGCTCTGAGAGCCGACCAGAACTGGCCTTTTTCAAGGGAAAGAGAAGGCCCTTCGCGCTGGCAGGAGGAGGACCAGCCTGCAGTGTTAAGGCTTTAGTCCGGGGCCCGCAGGGAGCTCTGAGCCTGGGCTCTGCGCCGGCTGCCGACCCTCTGCTCAGACCCGAGCAGGCGCTGCAGGAGGAAGCCCCAGGCCTCCTCGAGGTGCGTGGGAACCGAGGAAGGCCGGGACCATTGGAAAGACCGAAGGAAAGAGCTTTCATCCGGGGCCACTGCAGTGCCCGTCCCAGGGTGGAGCCCCAGGCACCTGGGAGGGACCAGACCAGAGGACAGCGGGGGCTCACGCACCCCGGAGGACGGAGGGAAGGATGGGCGTGCCCCCGAGGTTTCAGGGAGCGGCCTGCAGCAAAGGACGGACAGGTCTGTGTCAGCGTCACCGGCAGAGAAAGTGCAGAGAAGGCGGGGTCTCCAGCGTCTGGAGGCGGGAGTCTGGAGGCAATTTTTTTGAAGCTCTTTTAAAAATTTCATTTATTTATTTATTTATTTATTATTTATTTACTTATTTATTTATTTATTTTTAGAGAGAGCGGAAGGGAGGGAGAAAGAGAGGGAGAGAAACATCAATGTGTGATTGCCTCTCCTGCGCCCCCTTGTGGGGACCTGGCCTGCAACCCAGGCATGTGCGCCACTGGGAATCGAACCAGCCACTTTGTGGTTCACAGTCCACTGAAGCACACCAGCCAGGACTGAAGCATTTATTATTTACCTCTGTCGTTGGGGCTGGAAGACAGTGTACATGGGCAGCCTAGGCCACTGATGCGGGGGCGGGGGGGGACAGCTGAGATACCCTTTCCCGTCTGGGGTGCCTGCACAGGTTTACGGGTGAAAGGACATCAACTCAGGGGAGAAATGATTCTCCCCTGCACTGACGGGCTCACCCCATGGCCCAGGGCCGGGAGCCTGTGTCCCCGAGGGGTGGATTGGTACGGCCGGCCCTGTCGTTTCTGTGCCAGGCGTGTAGAGGGTCTGAGTGGTTTCAGTGAGGCGTCTGTGCTGAACACCACTGACACAACCGCAGTGTGGACAGCCCGGAGCAGTCCCAGGTCAATGCGCGGATGAAAGACGTGTAAGAGATGTGTCGTGTTGTTTGATCGAGTGTGTTTTTTCCAGCCTTTGAGGAAGCTGCTCCTTTCCTTGGCACGAAACGCACGCACCTCCCCACCCCCAGCAACCCCACCCCCGGGCACGGCCCCACAGGGTGAACATGGCGCCCGCGAAAGGCCTCCCAGGAGAATGTTCAGAGCGGCGGCCTCCCGTGCCGCCCAGACCCAGCACCACCGTAGGTGTCCATCGGCAGGTAAAACAAGATGCGGTCCATCCACACACGGAGCACGCTCGGCCACGAACGGGACGGGCCACCGGGGCTGCACAGACAGGGGCAGTCCCGAGGTCAGCGTGCTGAGCGGGGCCAGGCACACCAGCGCCGTGAGAGTCGAGCCCGGCAGTGCTTCCCCGCAGGGGCGGGAAGCTGAGCACCAGGCTTGGCTCGGGCGCGGAGGGCCGCTGAGTCACCCAGGCGTGTGCGTCTGTCCCAAGGCAGGGAACTGCACACACACCGCCTGGGCATCCCCACTGGGTGTAAACACCCACGATTTCACTGTATGGGAATTACACCCCATCCAGAAGGTACTGAGATTAATATAATCACACTACACAGCTCAGGAACGGCTGAGGCAAAAATTACTCAAAGTATTCGGCCCTGGAGGCAAGGCTGATTAAACACCTTAAAAAACTAGTCCCGGCATCTGTGGGCGGGGCATCCGCTGCCCTGCTCCGGGGAGACAGCAAGCGCCTCCTTCCTCCTTCTGATGAACGTTGGCTTCCTGCACGTCCAGCTTTCTGAGGTCGACTATGCCGATCAGCAAGTGCTTTGCCTGAGTGCAGGGCCAGTGTCCCCGTGTCCCCCACCCTGGGCAGGCAGGTCTGCTGACTCAGGGTGTCCCCTCCTGTGACAGCTGTCCTACCAGAGGGCAGGAACCCGGTCAGAGCTACTCAACACCACCCCCAGGGTCTTACGCAGAGCTTGGCACTTGGGGGCTGAATTGTGTCCCCTTAAAGTCCATGCTGAGCCCTGGCTGGTGCGGCTTAGTGGATTGAGTGCCTGCCTGAGAACCACAGGTCATCGGTTCGATTCCCAGTCAAGGCACGTGCCTGGGTTTCGGGCCAGCTCACAGGTGGGGGTTGTGCAAGAGACAACCACACATTCATGTTTCTCTCTCTCTTTCTCCCTCCCTTCCCCTCTCTCTAAAAGTAAACAAAATCTTTTAAAAAATTCGTGTCGAAGTTTCAGTTGCCAGTTCCTCCCACTGTGGCCACATGTGGAGAGTCTTTAGGAGGTGATTCAGTTCCCCAGCTTTACCGATAGATAGATCTGATACAACATTTAGTTGACATATAAAGCAACCTTAACTGTGAATTCAGATGCGCAGTGTGATGATGACAGTAACGTTAGAGAGCTCACCCTTCGCCTTGTTTAATCACCGTTTTGTTGTCGCTGTTATGATGGCAACATTTAAGGTCTACTCTCCCAGCAACTTGCAAGTACGAAATAAGTATTGTTAACGATCGTCGCGGTGCTGTGCCTTAGACCCTGTGTCACTGGCGGAGCAGTTGTTCCCCCACCTTCCCCTGCCTTAAGATGGAAATCAGGAGCGGGGGAGAGAAAACGATTCCAAAGAAGAGGCTCACTGAAAACAAGGCGGAGGGAAACAAGGTGGCGCGTGGAAAGGGCTGGATTTGTCTGTGAGCGCACACCCACGAAAAGCAGGGCTCCCGGAACCGCCGCTGGGATCTGACTTTTGGGGGCTGGACTCTTCACGCAGGCGCAGAACGGAGTGTTTTGCTTCCCGGGGTTCCCAGAGCGGAGCACTTCGGGGAGTGCCGGAAGAAAAACTTCGAACTTAACAAATAACCGAAGAGCGTTCCCACCCATTTAGAGCGTCCCAGAGGGACCTCGCCCATCTGATAACTGAAGTGTGTGCTCCTTGCCCAACATCTCCCTCCCCCACCCCCAGCCCCTGGTGACCACCTTTCACTCTCTGCTTCTGAAGTTCGATGACTTCAGATGCCACATGCAAGGTCACGCTGTATTTGTGTGTCTCTGTCTCATTTCACTTGGCACACCCTCCAGGTCCATCCATATTGTTGCAAAGGGCAGGATGTCCCTTTCAAGGCCGAGTAATACTCCATTGCACGTATGCGTGCGCCACCTCTTCTCTACCCACCCACCCCTCCGCGGGACACCTGGGTGGCTCCCATGTCTTGGCTGCTGTGGATAACACTGCAGTGAACCTAGGGGTGCAGGCACCTCCTGGAGAAAGTGATTTCACTTCCTTCCTATGCCTGGGAGTGGGGTTGCTGGGGCACATGGTCGTTCTATTTTAATTTATTTGAAGAACCAGATGGCTAAGTTTTAAAATGGTCCTGTGGGTTGGGCTCTGATCCAGGCTGACTGGTGACCTTGTAAGGAGGTTGGCACACAGGATGGCCGTCCACATGCCCACGAGAGAGGCCTCGGAGGAACCGGCCCTGCGACACCTGCTCTGGGACCTCAGGCTCCGGGACGAGGGGCCAGTGTCCAGTGTGAGCCCCGCAGGCCACGCCGTGGCGTGACGGCCACCGGAGCAAAGGGGTACAGCAATGGGCCCCGGGCGGTATGTCTTCAAGTTAGACTAAAATGCGGGAGCTGCAGACATGCTTTTTCTTTCTTGAATTTATTGGAGTGACGCTGGGTAATAAGCCTATGCAAGTTTCCGGTCTGCGGCACTTTAATACACTATAATATATAACACACTACCCAATACATCGACTGCGCGCCTGGGGAAGAGACACCCCCGCCCACGGACGTGACGTCAGCGCTCGTCACCGGAAGTGTGTGTGGCGGAGGACCCGGAAGAAGCTGGCGCGGCCGAGCCGGGAGCAGCAACTGTAGGGAGGTGTCTTCGGGCAGCGGGGGACCCGAGCGCGGGGGAGCCCGCTTCGGGCCCCGTCGGAACAGCCGCGCCTGCGTCGCGGGGTCGGACGTGACGTCAGGCTGGCTCCAGGGACGCCCCTGCGGCGTGTCCCAGCCACTCTCCATTTCCGTGAAGCTGGGGATTCGGACAAAGTAGAAATGAGGAAAAAAGGAATGATTCTCTAGCTCGGGCGACTTAAACGCGGAAATACAAGCAGTTTCGACACTTGTTTACGGACTCCAAAGATAAAAGCTGAGACACCCCGCCCCTCTCGCCCCTGTGGGCGCTTCTGGCCTATCACGCGCCAGGCCTCGCGCGAGTCCCGCCCCCGTTGTCCCCTTCGGCCTATCTCGAGTCGTACCTCGCGCAGGGCCCGCCCCCGACGCTGGAGTGTGGGCCTCCGTCGGCCTATCCCACCCGGTGTGCGCAGGACACCGCCCTCACCCAGCCCCGGCGCGCCCACTCGGCCCCTGGCATTTTCCCGCGCTGCGTGGGAGCACCGCCCCTGATATCTCCCCTCGCCTATCCCGCGCCTTGCGGTCCGCGAGCCCCGCCTCTGCCCTCGCGCCCGGCCTATCCCGCGCGGCGCTGAATGCGAGCCCTGCCCGCTCCCCGCGCGGGGGTTGGCGCTCGTCTGAGACGTCACCAGCGCGGCGAGGCGGACGCGGAGTTTCCCTTGGCCCGCGGCGATGCCCAAGCGGGGCAGCCCCTTCGGGGACGCGGCCCCGCTGCAGCTGAAGGTTCGCGTGGGCTGGAAGGAGCTGGGGCGCGGCGTGTGCGCCGAGCGTTACTCGCGGGAGATCTTCGGTGAGTGCGGGGTAGGGCTTCCTGCTTCGGGGCTTGGGCTGGCGGTCTCCGCAGGCCGCGCCCCCGGGGGCTGGGCGGCCCGGCAGTAGCTGCGAGGCCGGGGGTTGGGAGCACTGAGAGGGGTGTGAGTTCGCCCGTGTCCCCCTGCGGTGGTCACGGCCCGCAAGGAGTGTCCCTCCATCCCCAAACGGGAGGCCTCTGCGTGGTGCTGCCTTCGGGCTCGGTCCTGCAGGGATGCCGACCTCTCGCAAGAGCCGTCTCTGGTTTGGCTGGCACTGCGGCCCCTCAGCCAGCGAGAGGGCGGGGAGCGGGACGTCCTGCGTGGACCGAGCTGGCAGAAGTGCCCCTTCTAATCGGAGGGATTTGAGCTGCGCGCCCTGCCTGCCAGGCAGTGCGGCTGCGCGCAAGCCGTTGCCTGCCCGGAGCTCCAGAGTCTATGAGTGATTAGCTCGGGAAGGAGTGTCCCGAGAGGGTCCGGGAAGACCGGGGACGCCGCGGGGCCCCCTGCGGAGGAGTCCGCCGTCTCGAGGGGGGCCGGCACCCGAGCTGCGTCCTGCAGGGTGAGCGGGGTCTGGCAGGCAGAGGGGCAGCGGGTGCAAAGGCGGGAACCAAGGTGCTGTCGGATTTCGTGAGGCTGGAACTGCAGTTCGGGTGGGATGGGAGGCTGCCGGGGCCGGAGGCCTTCTCACCGGCTGCCCTGCAAGTTTTCAGGTGTGTTGCTATTGTTGACCATCGGTTTGGGCTGGTGGATGCTCTGGGGCAGTGGCAGCGGGGAGCTCACCTTCTCCGGAGGTCCGGGGCCCAGGTGGTGCCCCCCAAGCAGCTAGGAAGTTTATGATTGAAGGGGCTGCTGTGTGATAGGGGCTTGGGGCGTCCTGCCGCAGGGACCCCAGTTCTCCTCTCGGGCCACTCCGCTGCCGCAGCTGCTCTGCAGCGTAAATGGCCTCTATGGCTTGGCGGGCTGGGCGTCCTCCCGCAAAGCGAGAATGCCCCCCCTCCATTCCCCGTCCCGGCACCTGCCCGGGTTGTGGGCCAGGTCCCCAGCTGGGGTTGTTCAAGAGGCAATTGATCAGAGTTTCTCTCCCTCTTTCCCCACCCATTCTCTCTTTCTAAAGAAAAGTAAAAATAAAAGAGAACCAAAACCAGAATAGTATGGTCCACCAGGATAGCCCTGGACCACCTTCCCGTGGCATGCCCGGGGCATGCCCGGGGCTCTGTGACCCGCCCCTCTGGGGGTGTGGCGGAGCCTCTGGAAATGTGGGCAGGGTGCCCAGTTTGAGCTTGAGTCTCCCTTGTAGTGAGTTCCAAGCTCGAGGCCGTCACCCCGACCAGCAGACCTTGAAGACGGGTGTCAGCCCCACAGCGTGACTCCCAGCTGCACGCCCACCCCCTTGGGGGTGCAGGGGCCACACGAGATCCTGGGGAGGGGGCGCTGGTGTGGCCAGGCTCTCGCACGGGCACCGAGGCTTTTCTGGGACCGGCACCCGGCGTTCGACGGTGTGAAAGCGCCTGGGTGGCTGGTGTGGGGCTGGGGCCGAGCCCCTGCCCCAGGCGCTGAGTGGTCGAGTCAGCTCTGGGGGTAGCGTCCAGGGCCCACAGAGGTCCGGGAAGCTCCCAGACGCCTTCGGCGGGGGCTGGCTGCTGCCCAGTCTCCTGGCAGCAGCTCCGCAGTGAGCGAAGCGGGTGCTCCCCAGCCCAGAGGCCCAGCTCGGAGCCCCGCCTGTGGGTCAGCGCCCCGCAGCTCAGGGCGCCTCTGTGCTGCACGAAGCAGGCCTCGGGCGCTGGGGCAGGGGTGCCGCGGTGCGTGGAGGCCACACCCAAGAGAGCTGCAAGGAAAAGAGCCTGGGGCCCTGGGGCCCAGCCCTCCCGCAGGAGGCAGCAGCCGGGTCTGGGTGAGGAGGGGCAGAGGCAGAGTGGACCTGGGCCCCAGGGAGCCTCGGGGCGGGAGGAGGATGCCCGGGGACCTGGCCCCAGCCGGCCTCCAGGCCGCGGTGGCTGTGTGGCGGGGCTCCCGTGCTCTGGCAGAGCCCATGGGGCTTTGTCTCCCCAGAGAGGACCAGACAGCTCCTCTTTCGAGGGGCCCAGGCCTACATGCACCACGCCTGGGAGGAGAGCTGCGCCGTCGTTGACCTGCCGGAGTCCCCGAAGCCTGGCCCCGTGGAGGCCCCTCGGGCCGCACGTGGGCAGATGCTGATCGGACCAGACGGACGGCTGACCAGGAGGGGAGCCCAGGCCTGCGAAGCCGGTGAGTGAGGCTGCCACTCTCCAGTGGGGTGCTGGGGGTGGACATGGCTGGTGCTGTCCTGCTGTCCAAACCACCGTCGGCCAGTGGGGGCTGGAGCTGGGCAAGCCCCAGGAGGCCCCCAGCTGTGGAGGCTCAGCCCCCCAACATCTGGGTCTAGGGGTGACAAACAGCTTCTAATCCTCAGGTAGGATGGAGCAGAGACCCCTGGGTGGCGGCAGCCTGGTGGCGTGTCAGGGTGCATGTAGGACCGTCACCTGTGTCGCTGGTCACAGTCCCTGCCCACCCCTGGGTCTGCGCAGGGCTCGGGAACCTCTGTCAATCTGTGACACAGGGGCCGCATGTGCAGACCCAGGCAGGACGCCCAGGGGACGACGGCCGGGCCCCGCCACCCCCAGCAGTGGACCCAGACTGCGGAGGTTTGGGAGCAGGAGTCCCGAGACCACCGGGCCCGCCCCCTCGTGAAGCGGCTCCGCACCCGGCCTGCCCTCGGGCGGCCCTGAGGCTCCGGGGGGGCTGGGCGCGGGGTCAGCCTGTCCTGGGGTGAGGCAGTGGACCTGCGGCCCTCGGCACTTCGAGGCCTCCGTTCTAGCTGACAGGCGGCCTTTCCTCCTCACAGACGTGTCCGGGGCGGCGTCCAGAGCCTGCTCCTCGTGCGTTCGAGCCGCGGACGGGACAGTGGTGTGCGCCCAGTGTGAGCGCGCCTTGTGCGGGCGCTGCGTGCGCACCTGCAGGGGCTGCGGGGCGGCGGCCTGCGCCCTGTGCGCCCTCCTGGAGTAAGTGCGGGACCCGCGGCCTGGGGGGATGTCCGAGGGCTGTGGCCGGAGCTCTGGGGCAGCGGTGGCGCGGACCGCCAGAGCCGTCCCTGGTGTGTCTGCAGCCCTGGTGCCTGGGGACTCCTCCCTGGGGCAGACCGACCGACGGGATGGCAGGGGCACCATGCCCGTCACCGTGTCTGTGTCGGGGGACAGAGTGCTCGCTTGTGTCAGCTGAGTGTGTGAGTGTGAGCCCCCCAGTGCCCCTGCCCTGCGAGACGACGCAGCCCCCACACAGACTCAGAGCCAGCCTGCAGAGCCGCACCCAGCTCTGGCCTGCCTGTCCTCCAGCTGGCTGGGGGAGGTTAGGGGCAGGGGATGGGACAGTGTGCCCCACCGGGAAGGACCCAGCCTGAGGCGGCCCCCCAGGGGTGGGACAGGAGACTGCCAGGCACCTGGGCGGTTGGGCTGGGGTCATGCTTTCGGCAAGTTAGGACCACAGCTGCCTTTCCCCAGCCTAGTCCTTCTCCTGGCCACCTGTGGCTGGGCCAGCGGCCTTCTCGCTGGAGGACTGGAGCACGGCACGCGGGCGGGTGGTGCGGGCCCCCGTGGCTGGCAGCTGCCTCCTGCCTGCAGCGCCCGTTCCCTGCAGCGTCGGCTCCCCCCCTCCGCCCGTTACCCCGGCACTCACGCCGCCCCGGCACTCACGCCGCCCCGTCAGAGCAGGCCCGGCTGCAAGGCGCACACGTCGGGCTCTTGTGGCCACAGCCGGGGCCGGGTGCTCTGCTTTGTAAACCGCCGACTGGCTCTGGGCCACCAGGCATTCTGCCCCCCGCCCCAGCTGCTTCCGGCGGCGTCCTGCCCACACCTGGCTGTCCTCGGCCCGGCAGCGCGGCCGCCGGTGGACGGTGCTGGCAGAGCTGGGGGTCGCTCCACGGCGGGCGGCCGGCGCATCTGCAAACCAGCCAGCCTGTGGCTCTGCCCTCCCCGTGCCGTGCGTTGCCAGTGTCCCAGGCCCTCCTGACGCATGTCCCCTGCGATTCCCGTGTTCCGTGTGAGCCTGACTGGGCGCCCAGGAGGTGTCTGTGGGGCACCGTCCGACCTGACACCCGGGCTGGGCCCCGCGTGGCTCCTCAGCTGTCCCAGTCCACAGACCCCCAGCCTCGGTCCTCACGCACTGGAGGCCAAAGTCCGCAGACCATGCCTCCTGAGGCTGCGGCAGGCGTCCGCTCCGGCCGGTCTCAGCCGCCAGGGGTCGCCGGTGTGCTGCGGTGGCCCCCACGCCCCGTCCTCACGTCGTCTCCCCTGCACACGTGCTTCTCGTCACGTGTCCTCTGCCTCGGGCCCCTCCTGTGGGGGGTGGGGACCCTCCTCACTAATGACATCTGCCACAAACAGCCCTATCTCCCAGTGAGTCGACCGCCCTGGGGCCAGCACCTCGGCGTGTGAATGGGGGGGACAGCTCAGCCCCTAACACGCTCTCCTCTCTCCCCTGTGCTGTCGCAGCTGCGGTGACGCCCACGAGGAGGTGCTCTGTGCCGGCTGCGCGGTGTTCGAAGCCTGAGGGCCGGAGGGGCCGCCGTGCCTGGACAGCCTCACTGGTGCCTGCGCAGAGGGGGGGCTTGCTTTTTGATATTTGTGCTCCTAGAGACAGACTGAATAAATCCTGTATATTTGGGTAAGAGGACTTGCTGGTGGTCACGGTCCCAGGGGTGCGGTGGGCTGGGCTTCGTGCGAGGGGCGTGCCCGGGCACCCAGCTGTTCAGATGGGGAGACGGGGGCCGCAGGGGGTCACTTACCAGCCCACCCGGCCGGTCTTGGCGGGAAGGGGTTGGAACCGGCCCATCTGGCTGCGGGGAGGGTGACCGCTGTGTCCTCTGCACTCACACCTGCCGGGCGTGGCCGAGCCGGTGCTGCAGGCACTTCTGTCTCTGCCGCCCTGGCCCCCCACCCCCACCCCGCCCGGCCTGGAGCGTGAGGGGCACCCGGAGGACCCCGGCCTCTTCGAGCTGCCCGTCTGCTGGCATCCCAGACCGCTGTCCCCAGCGGTGCTCAGGAGACTCGCTCGGGGCGGGGGCCCCAGAGAAGGTCACACATGGGTCCATGCCCGTGACCTTGAAGCCTCTCCTGGCCATGGGAATGTCCCGAAGGCGGCCCCGTCACACGAGGGCCCCCCAGGAAGGAGCAGCTCATGCTGCCTGCTGCCCCCTCCCCATTCGGCGCCACGCCCGCCATTCCCCTGCTGTGGGCTGAGTGGCGGGCGTGGGAGGGGAGCTGCGCGTCCTGGCTCCCGTGGTGCCCCTTCTCCCCGTCCGGTTGTGGGGGGTGCACGCGGACCGCTGCGGGGGCCCGTGTCCGGGTCGCACGGGCCTGTCCTCCCGTGTCTGCCGGTTCGCTTGGCGCCGTCCATTCCCGTCGTGGACACGGGGCTGTGTCCTCGTCCCAGGGGCCGCCGGTGTCCCCTGGCGTCTCTGCTCTCAGCTCTTTGGCCGGGGGTGCCTGGCAGTGGGGCTGCGGGGCAGGTGCAGGGCCCTCCGGTCAGCCAGGCTTCCTGGCCACACCTGCAGGGGTGCCCCCTTCGGAAGAGGAAGCCAGGTGGCCACTCCCCACTCTGAGCGCTAACCCGGGCTTTAGGGGTTGGGTGGCCGGCTCCTCTCCTCGCCACCAGGTGGCGCCCACAGCACACCCTGCTGGACCGCCCTGCTCTGGGGGGACGCCCCCCTTGGGGGCTGCCCTGGGGCCTCGGGGCCGGAAGAACGGGTGCTCCCCACAGGCAAGAGTAGCCACAGAGTCGAAAAGCCATTTTTATTGAGGGTTTGGAGGGGCAGTCTCATTGTAATAGTAAAAATACTCAAGTCGAGTGTAAAAAACACCATGGTGCAGCGCAGTGTCTGGCCAGGAGCACACAGTGACCGCCCCTGCAGGGGCGTCGGGTGGGCAGCGGGGAGGTGAGGCTTCTGTAGAGGACGGGCGCTACAGGGGGCCCCTGGGGTGGACGTCCGGAGGAGGGGGCAGGGGAGGGGCTGGCCTCCGCAGGACCGAGCCGATCACCGCACACGACCCGTGCAGCACGCCCCGGCAGGTCTCCCTCCGCCTGCTCCTGCCCCGGGCGGACCTCAGCCCAGCCCCGAGCCTGCCGCGGGGGCGCTGTCTGACCCCCGGGGGAGGGGCCAGGCCAACGCGCCACAGGCCGGCTGCTTCCGGTGCGCCGGGCCGAGCACAGAGAGGTTTCAGCTGGGGGGGTGCTCGGACCCCAGCTGCACGCGGCTAACGAAGTCCCCGGCGCTTCCCGCGTGAACCTCGTCGTCTGCAGGCCGAGGCCACGCCCGGAGAACTGGATGAAATAAATTAAGAAAAACCGAAGGCCAGCCTTCCTCCCCGCCGGCCAGGGGCCCAGCCCACAGCACGGAAGTCTCCCCGTCCGAGCCGGAGGAGCAGCGCGGCGCAAGGCCGACGCGCGCGGCCGCGGCCAGAAGAGCGGCATCCGATGCAGATTGTCCGTGCGGCGCCCTCCCGGTCCACGGAGCTGGCGCCCGGCAGGCCCCTTCAGGCCGTGCCGCTGGCCGAGTAGGAGAACTGGGGGAAGTGGGGCCTCCGCTCGCTGTCCGCACACTCCATGCTGTCCTCTGTGGGCGGGAGACGGAGTTCGGACCCGGGCCAGGGACACGGGGCCAGGTCCCAGAAGACTGGACTCTGGGGCCCGACCCTCCAGCGCCGGGCCCTCCCGCCCTCCGGGGGGGGTCTCTCCAGTGAAAGCGGACAGGGCAGCCTCCCTGGGAGGGCAGCCCGGGCTCCATGGTCTGGAGGGACTCTGGTGGGAGGCAGCCCTCACCTTGGTCAGGTGGGGTGATGGTGATCATCTGGGCGGTGAACTCCTCATCAAAATACCTGGTGTCTGTCTCCGAGGTGACCTGGGGCTTGAAGGGTGGACTGAGCTGCGGGGGTGGGGGGGCAGGTTACAGGCTGGCTCTGCACCTGCCGGGCACACCCTCTGGCCCCCAGGGGTGCTGAGCCTGTCACCTCGGCCAAGGGCAGGCAGAGTCCTGCTCACAACAGCCCCTGCAGGTGACAAGCGGTAGTGCAGCCCAGCTTGGAGGTACACCCCAGCTCCACCACCACCCACATGCCTTTTAATTTTTCTATCTTTCTCATTTTCCTTTCTGGTTTTCTTACACACTGGGAAGGGGATGGAGAGAGCACCTTGGAGCAAAGTGTGTGGAGTGGGCTCCCCCACCAGGTGCCCACACAGCCCGGCCACTGGAGCTGCCCCTTCGATAATCCACGATGCAGGTAGAGTCCCCCCGTGGTCCATGACCCACCTGGGCTGGCAAGTGGCTTCCCCATGCAGTAGGCCCAGGGAGCAGAGGCCAGTGCCAGCCACATGGAGAGCAGGGCTCAGGGGCCGTGCCCCAGCCTGAGCCCACCCTGGTGTGTTCTCCAAGCCCGCCCCTCCCCTGGCAGCTCCCCCCACCCAGGAGGTGAGGAAGGGGCCAGGGCCCATCCGTCATGCAGGCTCCTGGGCTTTGCCCTCCAGGCCCCCCCAGGTGGTGGGGCAGGGGACGCCTGCTGAGTGTGGGGCCGGCCAGCCTCATGCGTGGCTCGAGGACCCCAACGTGGCCTGGCCGAGTCCGGGTGCTGAGAGGACCGGCCATAGCCCAGGACACTGTGGGGTGAGTGTGAGACGGTACTGCAGGCAGGCGCCCCAAGTCTCCCAGGCCCTGGCCAGGGCTGGGGCAGCCCCTCGAGAGCTGGCAGGGTCCTTGTCCAAGGCTGGGCAGGTGTCAAGCCCTTGGAGGGCTGGGCCAGGAGGCAGAAGGCCGTGGGGCCAGAGCATGGAGCAGGGCCGGGCGGGGTGGGGCGCCCTGCAGGCAGGCGAGTGTGGCCTGCAGGGGAGGAGGGCAGGCGACGGAGCAGAGCGTGCTTGGGGACGGGTGCCTGTGGGCCCCCGAGGTAGCCTGCACCGGGGGGCAGTGAGGGGCACATGCAGGGTGCAGCTGGCTGGCTCCTGGGAGGCCTCCTGCAGGAGCCAGACAGGCAGGTGCTGCCGCGCTCCCGCAGCCCAGGGGCAGGCCTGGGCTCTCCCAGTAGCGTGACGGATTGAGGTCAGACAATGGGAGGAACTGGGACAGCAGGGTAGTGCCCTGACCCCGCCTCCAGCCTGCAGCACGCAGCACCCGGGAAGGGAACCGAGGCGCTCTCAGAGCCGAAGGGGAGCCACCTGCAGGGACCACACCACACACAGCTCCTCCCAGGGAGGGGCGGGGGCGGGGGCGGGGGCGTGCGCCTGCGGCGAGGGGCGGGGCGGCGCACCTTCTTCTCGTACACGTCCTGCCACACGATGCCGGCGAAGAAGCGGTGCTGCATGATCTCCTTGGCGTCCTCCGAGCCCCCTCCGAGCCTGCAAACAACAAGAGACCATGGTGACAGTGCCGCCGCTGCCCACCCAGGCTCAGGCCACCCTCTAGGCCCCTCCTCCACCGGATGAGGCCAGGCGGCACTGGGTGGTGTGGGCAGAGGGCGGTGGGGACACAAGGTCCCCCGGCTGAGCCCCAGCCGGCACAGAAGGCTGGGTGAGCGGGAGCTGCCGGCAGGGTGGGGTCCTCCGGAGGGGTGTGAGGGGCCGGCCGGCGGTGGACAGAGACCCCGCCCCCACAGGCTGCCCGGGTCCGCGACGCGCACCTCTCCTTGGGGTCCTTCTTGAGCAGCCCAGACAGCAGGGCCTTGGCCTCGGGGCTGAGCGTGCGCGGGAAGCGGATCTCCTCCATGAGGATGAGCTCGAAGAGCTTCTCGTGGTCCTGGTTGTAGAAGGGCAGCCGGCCGCACAGCATCTCGTACATGACCACGCCCAGCCCCCACCAGTCCACGGCCCGACCGTAGTCGTTGTCCTCCAGCACCTCGGGCGCCAGGTACTCGGGCGTCCCGCAGAAGGTCCTCATGGTGGCCCCGTCCTTGATGCCCTCCTTGCACAGCCCGAAGTCAGTGATCTTGACGTGCCCGTCCTTGTCCAGCATCAGGTTCTCCAGCTGCGGGGCTTGGCCTCGTCAGTGCCCACAGGCCTGGCCCCGCCCCCGCCAGCCTGGCCCCGCCCCGCCCATGGCCACGCCCACCTTGAGGTCCCGGTAGACCACGTTCTTCTCCGAGTGCAGGTAGTCCAGGGCGGACACGATCTCCGCGCCGTAGAAGCGGGCGCGGTCCTCGGGGAACACCCGCTCCCGCGACAGGTGGAAGAAGAGCTGTGGGAGTTGGGTGGGGGTCTGAGCCAGGGCGCCCGGCCAGCCTGAGACCACCCTACTCCATGGGCGGGGCGGCGGGCCTCGCGGTGGGACGGGCAGGGCGGGCCCCCTGCAGCTGGGGTGGCAGCACCGTCCCCGGGCCGGGAGGGCGCCCAGCCCCTGCCCGGCAGCCCTACCTCGCCGCCGTTGGCGTACTCCATGACGAAGCAGAGGCGGTCGTGGGTCTGGAAGGAGTACTTCAGGGCCTGCAAGGGACACAGGCTGGAACCGCAGCTCCTCGAGCCAGATGGGGATGCCCCAGCGCATCGCCACCCCACAGGCCGGGCCCGGGGGCCAGTTCTGTGAACTCGGAGGCGCCCCAACAGGACGCCCTCACCCCCGACCTGGAGAGGACCCTCCTTCCTGGCGCAGCTGCCATGCTTTCTGAGGGTGGTTCCTGTGCGCAGTTC